TGAAGGTGGCTGAGCAGCTGCACTCTGTAATGAGGCTGGATGTGATGCATGCGGTAGCTGAACATTTCCAGCAGAGTGTGCAAAATCCCCCAGGCGTGAGATTTGAACACTGTTGGCAGGAGCTGACCTTATGGAAAACAGTTTGAAAAATACATTTTCCAAGTGATTACTCTTTAAAACAGAGTACACTGTGGACAGACAAACATATTTAGCTGCAAGTAAGATACTCAATTTGATAACTGCAGTGCTTGTAAAGAAAGAGTGCATGTGCAAGCAACTGTCTTAAGAGGTCCAGTGTACCATTGAACAATCCTGAATATTCCTTTGACTGAACATATGCAGCAGACATCCAAATTATTTTAAAGTGTGCAATTAAATAGACTTGCATCTGATTAAGTAAGAGTTCCTAAGAATGTTCGCAAGCATATTTTGCACAATGCAGCTAACCTAGAAAATATCTGACCATACACACATCAGTGTCCCCATAACGGGACAGCAGTACATTTACCTGCAGTTTATTGCAGCACTGGGGCTAATATTATGTTTTTGGTTTTTGTTTTTTTACATTAAGATAATCTACCTATGTACTCAGCATACTGCATCATTAGATTTTGATTGCTTTTTCTATGGTTCCTAGTTACCATTCAAAGAGAAAAACATTACCGAAAGCAAAGAGGAGAAAAAATCTGTCTTACTGATGAAGCCTTCGGCTAATATTATGTTTTCTTTTTTTGTGTGTGTTTTTTTTTTACATTAAGATAATTTATCTATGTACTCAACATACTGCATCGTTAGATTTTGATTGTTTTTTCTATGGTTCCTAGTCACCATTCAAAGAGAAAAACATTACTGAAAGCAAAGAGGAGAAAAAAATCTGTCTTACTGATGAAGCCTTTGATGCCCAATGACTCTATTTCCATATAAACCAACAAACGGCTGTAGGTTTCCACGAGAGCTGGTGCCAAGGCCAGACTGGATTTTGCATGAGCCAGTTTAATCACCCTTGTAGCTATGCTATGAATCAGGCTGGAGGGGGAAAAAAAAAAAAGTATTTTTAATCAAAACTACATACTTGAAATTTAAGGTATTTGTTATATAAATGAAATGTCCTACACAAGACATTTTGAAACAAATATAAAGCTTTCCTGCTGACAATTAGCTACAAAAGGACTTACAGACATAAATACTCCCTGCCAAAACCAAAACACAAAATAAAACAAACACACACAAAACCCACCCCCACAACTAAGCGCATCCTGTACCTCATTTTGGCATGAACCGTGAGTGAATCCAAGAGGTTCATTGGCAATGGGGTGATAGACCCTGATGCCATGCAATTAGTCCCTGGAAGAGGGATCCTCATATTGCCATTTCCATAAATAGTCTCTACGAGCACACCCATGGGCAAAGTGAAACACTCTGAATTGGTAGAATATGCATTGCACAACAAGGCAATCTTGTAGTCATTCATCTGCAAGCTTTTATTTCTCAAACTCTGTTGCAAAAACCTGCATATCAAAGAAAGGTTAAACATTAAGGGGGCATAGAATGGAAATCAAGCAGAATATACATTTTTGCAGGATTACAGTCACAAATAACCCTGTCACAAATCAGTTGTAAAACAGTAGGAAAAAAGATTTATATTTATAAATCATACCACACTAAGTAACTAGATCTTAAGCCCCAGTTAGTTTAACTTCTTACTAAAAACAACCCTATCAACTACTACGTGCTACAGTACCAGAGCTATAGAAAAATCAAAGAATGGCAAAGGTTGGAAGGGACCTTTAGAGACCACCTAGCCCAACCCCCCTGCTCCAGCAGGCTCATGTCCAGGAAGGTTCTGAGTTACCTCCAAAGGACACTCCACAACTTCTCCAGTGCTCTTTGGCCTTCACAGCCAAGGAATTTTTCCTTGTATTCAGATGGAATTTCCTGTGTTTCAGTTTGTGACCAGTGCCTCCTGTCCTGTCACTGGCCACCACTGAAAATAGGTGGACCCATCCTGACACCCTCCCTTAAGGGATCTGTGTACTCTGGTAAGATCCCTGCCCAGGATCCTCTTCTCCAGGCTTAACAGGGCCCAGCTCTCTCAGCCCCTCCTCAGAAGAGAGATTCTATTTAAATATATTTTAAAAATCACCTTTCTAATGAAAGTTAGACTGCTTATCATATACAAGCCACTCCATTTTTTTTTTCAAGTCACAGCTTAGTAAAACAGAACAGTCCATTTGTTTCCTGATTCTCCATCGCTAGATGCTCACAGTTGTAATATATGATTTAGATGCTCACAGTTGCAATATATGATTTAAAGCGTCATAAGGGCATTTAAACTTTTATGAGACATTTTTGACTTTGAGCTCTTAGCACTGTTTAGTCCTTTGCTACAGAGTAGGACTGAAGAAACAAAACAGCACCCCATCACACAGGACCTTCTGAATACAGACCTGGAGCTTGTTTTCCCATTATGCCTAGAAACAAATGTACACACAAACACTCACACGCACACAACCTACTCATGGTGAAGCTTCAGAGAATGGGGAATGGGAATCTGTAACTTGGAGTTATCGCTATGGGCCTTCCGATTCAGATGAATCCAAATACAAGTCATGGCAAAAGCGTGAGTTGACTGGGGCTTGTTAATATCAGGTACAGGAATACACTAAAGAACAAAAGAAAAAAGACCACGACATAATTGTATGTATTTACATACGAAAAAAAACAACTTAGATAACTAACATTCACATTTTTTTCTAACCTGCAGTTCCACAAACAAAATATTGGAAGGGCAGATTGCATTCTTATTTATCTATGCAATTCTAATTCAAGATGTCTGGAAGAGAATATTACCTTAATCATTATCCCTGATACAGAATGAACCATCCAAAACCACAGCAAATATAAGTCCATAAACAAATCCAAGACATGCTGTTACAAAAGCATATAGTCAGATTTGCCTAAGATATGAATCTGAAATAATTACCATACATACTTCCAAGGAATGCCCAGAGTAGGTATTCAGTGGTTCACTAGTATTATCTGGAAATCTAGTTTTTCCAGCATCAGAATTCTCACTAACAGAACTAAAGGTCAACAGCTTTCCCATTAAAAGGGACACGCACACCCTAGAATCGAAGAAATCTGGGGATTACATGCTCTAGTATATTAGTGCAGCTGAAGGAGACATTCTGTCTCTTTTTGCGCAATAAACACCTATGTATTAAGATCTCAGGGTGAACAATAGTTGAACATTCATCCAAGGTTTAGTTTCAGAGAGAGAGGACTTACTTCCTTTTCAGGATACAAGAGGTCAAAAAGCTTCATCACCGGGAGGAAGTCGGCCAGTGCATTCTTCTGGATGCTGCCGGAGATGAACTGCAGTAGCACCCACATCAGATGGTCTCTGCCTTTAATGAGGCCCCGGCCTGCCAACTGTCAAACACACTCAGCAACGGACAGACACTGCACGCAAGCAAAACCACTGCAAAGATTCCCATATGAATAAACGGGCAGGCTAGAATAGTTCCAGTCTCCACCCATTACTGTGAACGTTACAGTTGCGCTTGAGCCGAAATGTAGGTTTTCGGGAAGAGAGCAAAACGAGCACATTAGTCACAACACAGGAACACTACCTCGGAGGGTCACGGCTATTAATTTAAATCCTGCTAGGATTTTAAACACATTCAGCTCTTGAGGGTCACAGTTCTGAAAAGCAGGAACTCCTGAATACTGGACTTGGGTTGTAGCCCTGTAGCCAGGTAAACACAGTACTCCTTGCAAGCAGGCAGTGCCACAGGCTGTATGTTATCTATAAAGTCTAAGAACCAAAACACCATGGGCTTGTTTCATCGGGACATGTCTTGCCACGCCTGGATTTTATTTTTCTATTGTCTGCAACAGCAAGCATTTAATAACGAGGTTACTGCTACCTGTTTTGTGCTAGCTTAGACTCAGGCAGCTGTGGGGTGTCATGCCTATGGCTTGGATAAACTTCATCAGAGGCTAGTTAAGGGCCATTACAGGAACACAACCCAGGACCTTGGTACAGCTACTTGTCAGGATAACAAAAAGTATCCAACAAATGTAAAATTTACCATACATAGTAAATTCAGATGTAACACAGAACCGTGGACCAATGAAGATGAAGCAAAGTGTACTGCGTATTAGAAACTGTATCTAAATAGCTTCAAGTGAACCCTGGTGGTGAGGGGAAAACTCCCATTTTCCTGCCATTGAAATCATAAACTGTATTATTACTAGGAACTAGCAGTAACTAGATAAAGTGATACTAGCAATTGTAGTCCAAGTTAACTGGCAAATGATTTTAAGAAACACGCTGCAAATACATTCATTAGATCAACCATCCATAATTTTGCATCTGTTCATGTGTTTCTTTAGTTCACATAAACTGTAGTTACATTAAAAGCTTGTCTGTAATTTGGATGTTACAGTATAGTATTCAGGTCATTTGAATTATGCTAGTTTATATCCTCATGCTATCTACTTACAAACTTTGTGTCCGAATATAATGGAATATCCTATAACTGGATATACTGCAAACAGACTTACACCACGCAACTGGAGCTTATCAGAAATTTAGTTCTTACGCAAAGATGCTTTGAAAATGAACGGGCGTCCCCAGGGAAGCGTGTCTTACCAAGCAGGAGTGACACAAACAATTTACCTTTTGATGGAGCGATAAGACCATATGAGGAAAACTTGCAAACTGAAAGAGCACAAAGAAAATAAGCTGGCTGGAGAGATGCTGCCACAAGAGCTGGCTGGTGCCACCATCGTCAAACTTCTCTTCGGTCTCCGATCGTTCCATGGCATACACTACCAGATCCACCAGCTGGTCCTCCAGCACAGGACAGCGCTGCTTGTGCTGTAAGCAGAGATCAGACACAGTATTCCAAAGCCTTGCAATTAATTTCAGAGCTACTGCAGTCGCAATTACAGTACAGTCTTTTGACAGAAGGCTGGGAAGCATGAAATGAAGTTTGAACTTAAGTTAAGGATAAGCCAGTGTATTAAAGCTGCACTATGTTACAGGTCACAATGATTTTTGTATTCGAACACACATTATGTAATTCCCTACTCAACCTCAAAAAACAATGACAGATCTCAATTACTTGAGATCAATGCTCAAGTAATATTTTCTTTTTTAATTTAATAATTTCATGGAGAATATTATAACTCTATACTGCTATTCCAGGAAAACGAAACCCATTCTTTTAACACCATCACTGTTTTTTTTTTTTTTTT